AGTTTTTTGCCTGTCTATATTTCTAATTTTGTTCAGATTTAAACTCAACCCTTTCTTTCTGCAAACCCACTCTCCTTCATTTGTTTCCTTATCTCAGTTAAATGTATCATCATTCGCACTTCAGTTGCTCCTTTACCCTACTACCCTTTAACCTCATATTCTGCTATCTAAAATATTTTATTGTCTCAAGGCAAAATATATTTCAAATCTGTCTTTGCTTGCATTGCCACCGCTTTCTGCTCAGGCCTTCATTATCTTGACTTGACTTGCAGTTACAGGTTTCTTCCTATACCACTGAGAGAAAGCAATCTTTCCAAAATGAATTGGATTCTATCTGCCCCCTGCTTGAAATCCTTCACTGGTTCTCTGTTGCCAATAAGGAAAAATATGCCATTTATGGCTCTGCTTCTGTCTGTCTCTCTCTCTTCATTTCAACTCACCCTCTTCCAGATCTACACCCCCCAATATAACATTCCAACTTGATTTTACTAGCTATTTCATATTTCATTGTACCTCTAACATTTCTCTTTTACTTCAGATGACTTTCCCTTCTTTCCTTCTTCCATTCAGTTAAGCTTAGCATCATCCAATTCAAATGTCACATTCCTTATAAATTCTCCAGAATGGCTCTTGACTCTTTCTGTCCTTCTTACACTTTGTACCTCCTAGGATTGTATATAATGATTTTATTTACATAATCTGCCCCACATACTTCGCTTCTTTTTATACTTAGTACATGACATGGTTTCTATCACAATAGACATGGTCAATAAATGCCTTTTGAATGACTTGGGCTCTTGCTCTAAAAAAAATACTCTTATTTTTCATCAAAATCTTATTTTTTTTTCCTTTATCAACTACAGTGTTACTCTGTGAGTGATGGTTTCTAGATTTATTCATTTAATTGGTAATTATTGAGAATGCACTCAGTGCACCACCTTAGTCATAGATGTCTATTGGTCTCTTCTCTTGGAAGAGGGCCCTTGCTGAAAGAAAACTCTGATGTTACTTGAAAGATGAATTCCACCTAAGAATATGATCCCTTGCTGTTGCTGTAATGCTTAAAACCCTTCACCTCACACCATCTGGAACATCCAGCTAGAGATGGAATTTTTCTACACTATTTTAAAGCTTAAAGCCTCTTTTAACCTGATTATCTACTTCTACAGATACATAAAGTGAACCCACAGACTGACTGTGAAGAGTCTGACAACTCTATTAAAAGAGCATCACTGTGCCTTTTAGTGGGTTTTTTTTGTTTTTTTTAATGGCAAGGGAGTGTAGTTCTGAAAGTTAAAGTAACTTCTTACCCCTAGTAAGTGTGAACCCAAAAGAACTGCCATTGTCCTGCATGACCGTTTACTCAGCTCTGCCCATTCTTCCTTTGTTGCCTGAATCTACACCACCTCAAATTTGTCTACTGAATTGATCATCTCAAGTACTTATATGTTAGCCACTCATCCAACCTTCTCTTTCAACAAAGTAGTTTATCACAATATATTCAAAAGCTATTTTTTTTTCCCACTATATATGAAATATCTCCCATACATACAGGCCTTCTCTTGCATATTTATTGTCTGCACTCTAGGTATTCATCTTATACTGGTAACCTAATGTGATATATAGTATTGAATAAGTAGTTCTAGTAAAAATATTTATTCTGGTGAATATGTATTTACTGGTGAAAATGTTCTATTAATTGGTCAATACTTCTAGTTAGATTTTGTTGGAGAGGCACATATGTACAGTTCCTTTGGGAGACACTTCTTAATTGGCAAGGCAGGAAAAGTCATCATGGAACAGTAATGCCGTAACTAAGTCTTAGTATCCTTTCCCCATTTTATAACTTGCTCTAAAGTCTTCCTCTTAACTTTCAAAAACATAATTTTATTTCTTTCCATCTTAATCTATCTTTGAATTTTACCCTAGCCTCCCAGTCCCACTTTCAAAAACCCCCTAAACTCTTAAGTCATACATCCCCCAAGAAATAAAGGTCTTTCAAAAAAAATTTTTGTTCCCTGCTCCCTCTGTACTTCTTGCTTATGATTGTTCTTTTTATCCCCACGTCTGAACAACATATGCTACTTTCTCCAACAAAACTGTCAAAATCATCCAAGTTGAAATTAAGCGTTATGACCTTTCTCAGTCACATATTTCCATCCTATTAATGTCAAATGACTTATGTAGCACTGCAGCGAAAATGAAATGAACTTGCAAGTTAGAGGACTTAAATTCAAATCCCAGTTCCACCACTTACTGATCAAACACCCATTTTTTTATCCATCACATGAGGTAACAATAACTAATTCAGAGTTGTTAAGAACATCGGATGAGATAGTGTATATAGAAGTGATTGTAAATAATAAGGTTCAATGTCCATGTTGGGTAATCTTAGATTGAATTAATGTATGGAACATGAGAAGGTGTAGATTATGTCTTGTTCATTATTGTAAATTCCTGAGTGCAAACACTATACTTTGCCCATATGAGGAAATATCAAAGAAATGAATTTGATTATGAAATCCTTGCCAGAGCCAAAAAGGAAAAACTCAACCTGTTTGAGACATACTCTTGTAAAATATTTGCCGTATTCATATACAGCCTGCCTTATTTATAACATTATTAGGCACTTTTGGCAATCTGAGCTTATGATTAGAGTTATACAAAACCTCTTTTATAATTACATGTTAAATTTTCAAATGAGTGTTTTATGGATGACAAGTATAGAGTGTCATCAAACAATGCTTTATTTTCAATATCTCTTAAAAAATTGAAGTTTACCTGTTTATTTTAATAATCCTTTTATTAACACTTAGAAATAGTTCCAACCAAAGTGATTATGTAATTCTTAAAGGTTGGTAAATCTTCCAAAATTGCCTCTGCTGTGTTCTCATTGTCAAGGTTAGTTTTTTGTTTGTTTGTTTGTTTGTTTGTTTAAGAGAATCCGTTAGTCCATATCATTTAAAACTAAGTAGACAACATACTAGTAAATGTGCGAGGGTCTGTGGAATTGAAATCACAGTGGCCTTTTTCAAAGTACTGAGAGTGCTGTTTGCAAACTGCAATTTTTCTATTCACTTGTTGTCATTTTCGTTGAACAAAGTATTTATTGAGCATTTGTTTATATTTTTCTTATGGTAGAATGATAGTATTTGTACAAATTATGAATGTTTTTGTTACATAGAGGTTTTTTGGATGTTCAATTAAATCATTTTTCTGTGAGAAATGAATGTAATTGCATGTTTTTCTTAATTTTTACTTCAAGTTGTTATGTATTAAAAAACTCTTAATACACAGAATATATGGTGAGTGATTCTTTATATAGTCACTTCAAATGGCTATGTAGTCTAATCATTCTTTATATAGCCTTACAGTTGAAAATCTAAATTGATATGCATAATCCTTTGGCCTTTTACTTGGTTTTTCTGTGTCAGAATTTTAAATAGTTGAGTAGCCAACAGGTAATAAATGTCCCATTTATCTTCTTTCTGACTCTCTAGTTCCTGAGCATGAGAATTGCTGATCAGTTACAGCAATTGTCTCTTAACTGAGCTTTTCACATCTGCCTCTTATTTCATTAGTTAAGTGTCTGCCCAAAGATCAGATGGAATACTAGTGCCTTTTCACAGCTTGTTCTGTCTGTCTGTACAATGATAGGGTCATTAGCAGAGTGGGCACAAAAGGGTATTTATCACTAGCTACAACAAATATACATGCTAGTGTCTAGAAGGCAATTGAAACTGTTTATTGAAATCACTTTAAGAAGAAAAAAAATTACTGGGTCTTGCTTCAACTCTCCATTTAGCCAACACTAATGTAAGATGATGGCATTTCTTATTATAAAAAGCTTTAACTGATTACATTTGTCCTCAGATAAAAAGAAAAACCAAGTCTATTACGTTAATTTTAAAAAACAGTGACAAACTTTTAAAAGTATATTTCAAATTAGCAAACATCATTATTAGCATACTCTCATCCAGAGATTATTACTTCTTGGTTAATCTTCCTCTATGTTGGCACTTTTAAAAATACCAAGCACAATCCGCTTTGTTATATGTTATACAGCAGTTATCCATTTTATTGGAAAAAGTTTTGATGATTAGTTAATGTTTATACTTACTGTTTATAGGAATAATATTTTCTTACTTATAAAATGGGAATAAAAATAGTATGTAACAAAGTGTAAGTGAAAATTAAATGAGACATGCAGATAAGGCACTTAACATATGCTGCTGAGCACATAGTAAGTGGTCAATGAATAGTAGCCATTATTACATAGATATTGTTAAATTTAATTATTTTTTTCTTGACATCTGTTCAGAGACTTTGGAAGCAGAACACTGGAAGATTTTATGTGTTGACTAATATGTTAATTGTGTAAAATTCCATTTTCAATATATTTAAAATTATTTAACAACTGACAGCCAATGCAGAATTATCTATTTGTAAATCATTTTAATTTTGTCTTTTGGAAGAAAATTTAAGTGGATCTTCAATGACTATTGTTCTGCACTTCAGGAGAGAATCACATAACAAATGTCATTGTCATGAAAGCAGGTCTAAGTACCTCATCAATTTTGATAACTACCCCCACCTTGTTTAAATATAAGAAATGCCTTGACCAAATAAATAACCCAAGCACGAAGTCAATTTTTAGTATTTTTTACATCTTGAATATTTAAGTATTTTTAAATTAATGCTATAAAAATATGTCAGTGGTAAAGGGGAGATAAATGGTGATGGAAAGAGACTTGACTTGGGGTGGTAAACACACAATACAATATACAAATGATGACTGTATAATTGTATACCTGAAACTTACATAATTTTATTAACCAATGCCACCCCAATAAATTCAATAAAAAATATGTTGGTGAATGTGTCTATTTATGTTATTTTAGGAGTTCTATTATAAAGAAAATTTTTATAAGTTAAAACTATATCATTAATTAACTTGGAATGATGTAATTTCATTTTGTTTTAACTTTTCTCTGTTGTAGGCCTTGTTTGTATGAAGTCCAGTACTTCTGTGGTTGAGCTTGTTATGCTGCTTTGTTCTCAGGTACGAAATCTCATTCACTTGATTAAGTTAAACAACGAGGCAATTTTTTTGTATGTTTCTAACAATAGAATGATTATGCATGTATATGTATATGTTTGTATATTTTAAACATCCATCTATTATCTCACATTTGAAGAAAGTAACTTATATTGATATATAGTTGTATGTAGATGATCTTACCATGTAAATATTGATTTAGTCTTCCTTTCCCTTCTTCTGCTCTCTGTAGCTTTCTTATTCTTTCCCACCCTTTTTATCCTGTTGTTCCCTATCTTTTGATCTTTGAATATAATATATACATATATATACACAAAATGTGTTGTTGATTTTTTGATATTCCATCTTTTAAAGATGATACAGTAGCATTTATAATTTTAATTTACCTTGTTAATTACATGATTTCTTCTTCTTTGTTAGATTCAAGATAATGAACATCAAGTTTCTATCATGCAATAGCCAAAGTATAAAGCTCATTAGTGAGTGGCCTTAGTGTGATACCTTTCTGTTTCCTTTTTTTAATGGGATTTGTAAATTTCAGTGTAAATTCTAAAAATCAACTTGTCCTATTTTTCTTTAGTAAGCAGAATTGAAAATAGAATAGTAATTGTTGGATATTGTTTCTTAGCAATTATAAGAAAACTAAGCACACACACACACACACACACATATATATATATAACATTTTCTGATAACTAAAATAGGGACCTAATGTTCTTCTCACCAGCTCTTTCAAGTCTCTTAGTGATTCTCATTTTATTTATTTATAAATATTTTGTAATATGAGAATGAGCAAAGAAGTTATATATGTTATATAATAAATAATTATTACATTTATTCCTAGTTTTCTCATTAGAAAGAAAAACACACTTAAACTGTTTGTAGTTACTGAACTGAGGTCTGCCTAAAAGCTAACTCCCAAATAAAAAACAATATGGCTTCAGTAGATCCTGTAAAACATCAGCAGAAACAAAACAATCAAAAACTTACCTAGTGATTTCCAGTCTTCAGGTTTACTCTCTTCAAGAATATGTTCATAGGGAAATCATTAGGTCCATTTCCCCCTTTTCAGCCAGGAAGAATTTTAATAAGACTTAAATAAAACAGCATCCCCAGCAGGCATTCATCTTCAAGGCATTTGAAAATTGTTACCTAATACCAGAGTCTTGAGTTCAAGAGACATTCTGAGAAATCTATCTGCACCTTTTAGGATCTTGATGCATATTTTCAAAAAAATGCTTTTATAAAAAAATAGCTTAAAATTTCTTTTTTCTTAGCTCTGGGTTTCACTGCAGTTCAGAGAAATAAAGAGGAATGTAGCATTAGGGTCTAATGTCTTTGATGGCCTCATCATCTAATCATAGGTTTAACATTACTCATTTGCTGGCTCCAGGAATTCCTGCCATTAAAGGCCCAAGAGATGAAACTTTGCCTCAGATATTGATTGAAAGGAAGAGTGAGAAATTCAAGCTCTCTATGCAGTGCACTTTCTTTCAGTGTTTCAGCAAAGCAATTATAAACATGTCTGTCAGTTTGATTTTTAAGTGGAATTTTTTAAATAATTCACAGTGCATTTAAATATTTCAAGTGGTTAATTGATTAAATACACCTCATTGAAGTGACTTAGAAATGCATGTTTATTTTCAGAAACGCTCCAATTGTGTTATTTTCTGTTAAGCTGAAATGTTGTTTTTCACAAAACATTTTTAAAGGAACAATTGAGTAATCTCCCTTATTACAGTTCAGTTGGGAGGAGTTTATATTCTACTTTGAAATTAGCTTATAAAACCATCTTTGTAGGGCATTAATTGTTCCATGGGTGTATAAAAACCTTGATTTTAAGGACACAAGAAAATGGACATGTCTTAAAAGTTTCTAAAAATAATCTATCATTGTTCTTTACTGGTCAAATTCAATGTGATTTATATCTTAGTTTCACCCATTAGCAGGGTGGACTTCTGATGAAGAGAAATAAATATAGTTAATGCTACTGTGGGAGATTGCTTGGCATAGCACTCTTCAAAGCTGGGTTCTCTTCTGCAGGCCTTAATGCATCTCTTGGAGCTGATCCCTGTAGAATTAGGCTGTGTTTGTGGCAAGGCAGGAGGCAATCCTAAGGAATCTTTTAAGCCACCTAGTTCTGTGTTGTATTTTTGTTTTATTTTACAGTCCCCCGTTTTTAAGTATTGATAGCTCCATGTTATTATGATGAGCAGTTATTACTACTAATAAAATAGTTTAAAATCTGAATGAATACTACTATCTTGATGCACTATATATGTAATTTTTTGAGTGGGAATTGCAACTAAGATGTTATCCACACTGTGATTTAATTCTTGGTTAAAATAAGTTTTTAATGCAAATGGAATATTCCAGTTTATTTATTTTCTTAAAATGTGCTTAATTATTTTTCCAAATTTAGATACAATTTTGTTTGTAGAGAATAAGTAGCTAAGGGTTGAAAAAGGAAAGGAAAATGCAACATTTCTTGCACCACTTGTCTTTTATTTACTACAACACCTTAAATGCTTTTATTTTTTGTGCTTTTTATTTGGGAAATTTCATGTTAAATACTATAATTATTAAGGATATTAGCTTTTGTTTTCTTCTTATCTGAGCTCCTGATTAAACTTCTTATCTGAGCTCCTGATTACTATTACCAGTGGTTTGTGTGCAAAATATGGTCTAAATTTACATGAGATCACATTACAAGTGTCTGAAGGTACTTGTCAAAGATAATTCAGTTCATGTGGATAGCCTTTTCAACTCCAAAGGACATGCCATCCATTCTACCCCCCAGTGGAGTTTTTGGTCTCTGTAGAGAACATATTTTATATCTTAAGAAGCTATTAGCATTGGCATTATATTGCATTTTTTTCCCACAAATACCCAGAGCATTTTTAACTGTATTTTGGATACTTTACTTTTCCATGTGGAATTTATGACACAAAGTAAATATTAATAATTGACTATTCCATTTCAATTTGTATTAAAGGTGTGCTTAGCATCTTTTTGAAAAATGATTTTCTGTAATTTGTAAAATGAACTGAAGTAAAAAGTATATATATTATTTTGAAAAAAGTCAGTGTTTTATCATTTAAATTCAGTATTTTTTACAGAGTTCTTCAGCATATCAGGTCCAATGCTGTCTTCTCTAAACTTGTTTTAAGTTTTTTCAATCAGATGTGGTTGAGGTGCTTTACATTATTCTATATGTGCACCTTATTTTACCATTACCTTATTCAGATTGTGTTGTGTTCTTTGATGAATAGCAGATTTAGTTTTCAAATAAACTTTTTTAGGTATTATAATAGTTTCTAATTATTTCCAGACTTTCTTTTGGGAAGTCTCCATCAGAGGTACTCCAGGAAAAGTGGAATGATGTTATCCCGTAGGATTTCTTTAAGTTTTCATAAGTAAAGCTTAGCAGATGTCACTAGCATTTTTCTGTGCCTTATCTGTCAGTAGAAAACGTTTTATAAGTTGAGAAACTTTTATGTAAAAAATAATGTCTCTAAGTATTTAAGTACTTGCTGACTTGAAGCACTGATTAAGCAAATGTAGGCTTCATAAATCATTTTTAGTCTCATTAAAAGCTCAAACATGTATAAGTGACACAAAGTAAAAGTCAGCCCTGCATGTCTCCTTAGGATCTGTGTATGAAGTTACTAACATGAATTATTTTGTGGTTTTATTTGCCTTTCTTCTTTTCTAAATACTTTATATACTTAAATAAAAAAGGATTTTAGTGACTTCACTGATGTGATCAAGGCCATAACCCAGCACTTAAAAAAGAACCACAACTGAAGAACAGTCTTCCTTTTTCAACTGATTTGGCCTTTGAACATTTAAATTTTTCATTTTTCTTCAATATCATACAGTAAGATGGTATACAGCAGAAAGTCATACTTTTCATCTAGTTATAATAAGTCTAACACTGAGGTACAAAGACACAGATAAGATGAATATGGAAGCCTACTAAGGAATATTCACTCATGAGTACTCAGTATTGAAAATGTTTCTGGGGTGTATAATAAGATTATGACTGTAAAAAACTAAGGATGGACTAGATTATTAATATTATTTTTTAGTTTCTTTATATATATTGTGGAAAATATTACAGATGTCCCCTTTTTACCCTCAATGACCCCTCCACACCACATTCACCCTACCCCCAGGCCTTCCCCAGACCAGTGTCTATGTCCATGGGTTAAGCTTATGAACATATAAGTTCTTTGATTAATCTCTTCCTGCCCACTCCCCCAACCCCACCTTCCTTCTGAGATCCCTCAGTCTGTTCCATGCTTCTATGTCTCTGGATCCATTTTGTTCATCAGTTTATTTTGCTTATTACGTTGCACATATAAGTGAGATCATGTGGTACTTGTCTTTCTCTGACTGACTTATTTCACTTAGAATAATACTTTCTAGTTTCCTCCATACTGTCCCAAGGGATAAAAGATTCCTCTTTGTATAGCTGCATACTATTCCATGGTGTAAATGTCCCACAGCTTTTTTATCCACTCATCTCCTGACAGGCAGATCTTAGCTATTGTAAATTGTGCTGCTATGAACATAGGGCTGCATAAGTTCTTTGTGACTGGTGTTTCAGGTTTCTTAGGATATATTCCTAGAAGTGGGATCACTGGGTCAAATGGCAGGTCATTTTTAATTTTTTGAGGGAACTCCATACTGCTTTCTATAGTGGCTTCACCAGTCTGCATTCCCACCAGCAGTGTACTAGGGTTCACTTTTATCCATACCCTTGCCAGTACTTGTCCGTTTGTTGATTTGCTGATGGCAGCCATTCTGACAGGTGTGAGGTGGTCCCTCATTGTGGTTTTAATTTGCGTCTCTCTGATGATTAGTGATGTCGAGCATTTTTTCATATATCTCTTAGCCATCTGCATGTCCTCTTTGGAGAAGTGTCTATTTAAGTCCTTTGCCCATTTTTTAATTGGATTGTTTGTCTTCCTTTTGTTAAATTGTATGAGTTCCTTATA